TGAGCCTGCGTTGATCCGATCGACAAGTAATGATGTAGATAGAGGAGGGACTTCGAAGGTTTTGGATGAGAGTAAGATAAAGAAGAAGGTTGAGGGTTTGAATTCTGCTGCTGTGGATGTTTCTAAGGTGATTTCGCAGCAGAAAGTGATTGATAGGAAGAGCTGGCTGTCGAAAATGTTCAACTTCTCGTCGGACGATGCCAAGGCGGTTTTCACTGCTGTCACCGTTAATCTGCTGTTCAAATCGTCCTTAGCTGACCCAAGGTCGATCCCTTCATCGTCAATGTGCCCCACGCTTGATGTTGGTGACCGGATATTGGCCGAGAAGGTAGTTTTTTGTTCAATTCAAATGTTAATGTGGCTTGGAACTTACAAATGCAATCAGCTTTAGTGTTAATGATGAGGGTAGTTGTTCATGTTAACATTGTTTGAATGCAGTTAGTGTAAATGATGAGGGTAGTTGTTTATATTAATATTGTTTGTGCAAAAATTGGTGTCAATTGGTTTATTTTATTTTTTTGTGTTGACTCATGTCAGTATTTTGTCAGTAATAGTGTTTCTTATTTTGTCCAGCAAGTTTTCTGATTCTCCCACAAATTGGTTGCTATAAATAAATTCCAGGAAATTTTAGCCATTGAATTGAAAGTTCTATTCTACCAGTATTATGCTAAACCAAGATGTTAAAACTTACTAGTTTTTTTTTTTAAAAGGGAAGTTTTTGTTAGTAAGAAGTGATACAATATCTAATGTATGTTGCCCCTAAAACTTTAGGAAACTTTAAGTTATGATTGAGTAATTGACATGAATGTGGCATAGAGGAACTGATAATTTGTTCACATTTTGTGAAAGATTGTAGTATGATCTTTTGTGCTGTGGTGGGTCAATAATTATGCTATGCCTCTGTCCTCTGGGGTGATGGTCCTGTATCTGCTAGAGTAGATATGTCATGCAGATAAATTGCTGCTTCTGATTCATTTTTATAGTGGAAAAAAATGACTTGAAAGTATCAAATTATCAAACTCTTAACACAGATAAGTTAAAATAACTGTTTTTTTGTTTTTGTTTTTGTTTTTTTGTTTTTTTCTCTGCAACGTGTGGTATAACAGATGGTTTGTACTTGATTACAGTTTAAAATAATCTCTTTTTCTTACCTAACAGATTGGTTACGTTTTTTTGCAAGTCTAATTGTCTGTGAAGTCATTTATAGTTGCTATATTTCCTTGGGAATGAGCAGATGTGTAATTACTGTTAACTGTTATGAAACATTTGTTGAACCAAATGTACATCTTTAATGGATGTATATGAAGCTAATAGATTGAGGCCTTGAGGGTGTTTTAACTCTTTAGTTTCTTACAGCATTGTCTTTCTGTATAAGTCAGACGGAATTCTGGAGCTTATAAAGGTTAAAATGTGTATTCTTTTTTCCAGGTTTCATACATCTTTAGGCAGCCTGAGGTTTCTGATATTGTTATATTCAAAGCACCACCGATTCTTCAGGTACTATTTAAATTTAAAATCTGGGCTTCAGCATGGCATGCTGAAAGTTCCACACTTCCTTTTTTTTTTTTTTTTTTGTGAAGTGACTAGATTGATTGAAATTTTAGTGTTTCAAATCATTCAGGAAATAGGCTTTGCCACTGGGGATGTATTCATCAAAAGGATTGTAGCAACGGCTGGTGATTGTGTTGAAGTGAGTATTTTCTATAGGTAATTGTACTTTTGTAATTATGCTTCTGTGCATTTTGTTTCTCGATATAACTTTGTCTAAATTAACTCTGTAACAGGTGAAAAATGGGCAATTGTTAGTAAATGGTATAGTTCGTGAAGAAGAATTTATATTGGAGCCATTAGCTTATGAAATGGATCCTGTGGTATGTTCAGAAGCCTTGACTTTTCCCATTGTCATTTCCTTGACTTGATCCTAGAAGTTCCTCTTTGGAATTCGCTAATGTCCTTTTGCAAATGTTGTATGCAGATTGTGCCTGAAGGCTATGTCTTTGTGATGGGAGACAACCGCAACAACAGCTTCGACTCTCACAACTGGTAATTTTGCAGCTCCTATTCATTCGGTGTATCTTTAAACTCTTATTGTAAGCCTAGAAAGATTAGGCTTTTGGCCCATGTCATTACCATTTCCTTGCATCTTTCTGTTTTGCGGCTGTTCAAGATGATTGTCATCCATATTGAGAGTCATAGAGCGCAAATCTGATACTTATGTGGTGTCTTGCTAATTTTGTTGCTAATCTGGCTTCATTTTTTGTAACTACAGGGGTCCACTCCCTGTCAAAAACATTGTTGGCAGATCAGTGTATCGATACTGGCCTCCAACTAAATTGACAGACACCATATATGAACCACAAGCAGAAAACTGTAATGTTGCAGTTTCATGACAAGTTTTCCATCCTTCTGTTAGACAAAGAGATGCTGAAGTGATGGCATCGTATTTAGTTCAAGGAAGGTGTCTACCTCACTTACATTAAATTTTTTTTAGCATTTTTCTCTGATTATACCAACAATTGTGAATATTTTTATTGTTTGGGAGCTATCGTTCCATATAAGTGCTATAACACAATTTTTATGATGGATTATGTTGTCCATCGAGTCTGACATCATCTCAATTGGTTTGTGTTGTAATGGTTGGTTCATTTTTTATGACACTTCACTATTGACAAATGGTGATTTTGTTTCATTATTTATCTTGTAGTCCTTTTCATTTATTTGCCATTCTTAGGGCCTGTTTTCTTACGTTAAAATTCAATTCAGTTCAGTTCAGCTTAGCTCCTAATTTTCTTCTTTTATAAAATATTCAGTTCAGCTCAGTTAGTCAATGAGAACAGGCCCTTAAAGCTTAAGCACTAAGCAAGTTTAGCCCCATAGACTTGGGTGACATCATCAATTTGAATCTTAAGACATGCTTAAGACCTTTTCTATTTTTCTTCAAAAATCTCAAGCAAATCTTAAGTTGAGTCTTGAAATTATAAGATTTTACTTACTAAAGATTGGGACCTACTTCACCAACCTCACTTTTATTTTTATTATCCTTTTTTTTTTCACTTTTCAACATATAATGTCCTTTTCATTTATTTGCCATTCTTAGGGCCTGTTTTCATTTATTTGTTTCATTATTTATCTTGTAGTCCTTTTCATTTATTTGCCATTCTTATGGCCTGTTTTCTTACGTTAAAATTCAATTCAGTTCAACTCAACTCTTAATTTTCTTCTTTTATAAAATATATTTAGTTCAGCTCAGTTAGTCAATGAGAACATGCCCTTAAAGCTTAAGCACTAAGCAAGTTTAGCCCCATAGACTTGGGTGACATCATCAATTTAAATCTTAAGATATATGCTTAAGACCTTTTCTATTTTTCTTCAAAAATCTCAAGCAAGTCTTAAGTTGAGTCTTGAAATTATAAGATTTTACTTACTAAAGATTGGGACCTACTTCACCAACCTCACTTTTATTGTTATTATCCTTTTTTTTCACTTTTCAACATATAATGTCAAATATTAAAATCTTAAGACTAAAGTGATAAATTTGTGTAAGTCTTACTGAGTCTTAACAAGAATTTAATGACATCATTTTCAATAGGGACCACAAAAAATGATGTCACATTTAAGTCTTAAGACTTGGGGCTAAACTTGTTAGGAGTACTCCATGAATAATTATATCTTAGACCGTTACATTGGTATTAAAGCTATCACCTTGGGACATTGGTATAAAACTCAATTTTCAAAGTACGTGCTTACTTCGTCAAGAAAAAAAATCACGTCATGCATGAGCTAGCTCTATATTTTTTGGTCAAATGTGTATTTTGTAAACGCTTTTCATAAAAGCTAAGAGTACATTATCAGAATTTGATCGACTTTCATTGAAGCAGTGAAAAGCAGTAGCCGTAGACGGAGTTTCACGGACCTTTTCGCAACTTCCTTGTATCCTTCGCGAAAAGTGATTGAAATATCCTGTCGGTCGGTAATAGCTTGTTTAGGTGATGTTCATAATATAATAGTCCGTTCAAATATTCAATATCAAGTGTAATTAAATTTTAGGTGATCACGGGCTGAGCTACACTTATTTTTGGGCCAAACCTCTAAGTTGAGCCCAACTTTGGTTAGCAAACTGTGGCCAAATCCGGCAATTTTTACCTATTCTATGTGGTCTAAGACTAAACAATGAATAATAGATTTACACACCAATTCTTTGATGGCTCCCCCATGTTTTACTTATCTCGCCGCCTTTCAGTGATTAGGGAGTTTTTGAAGAATTGGTGCATTTCCATCGTCGAGCTTGGGGCATTAATTGGTGCATTCTCATGTTTCAAGATGTCTCTTTCTTTCTACCAAAGAGTAAAAGGAGGTTGCAGATGCTCAGGCAGCTTTTCTCTACTGGTGTCAGTGAGCAAAAGTCAAATGGGATGCAATTGGAAATAGCCATTCTCGTTTATTGTTTCCCTCGGTGCAGTTCCGTCATCGCCGCAATGTGATTCACAGTCTCCGAAATAATGACGTATTATGGGTTATTGATATTGCGGGGGTTCGATCTTTAGTTCTTTCTTTTTACAAGGATCTTTACTCCGGTGGTTCGTGTTCAGTTGGTCCTAACTCTCCCTGGTGGGATGAACTCGATCTTCCTAGTCTTTCTTCGGAACAACAACAATAGTTATTAGTTCTTTTTTCCCATCTGGAAATCCAGGAAGCTATGTTTAGTATTGACGACAACAAGTCTCTTGGCCTGGACGGGTTCTCCTCAACATTTTTCAAGACTCATTGGTCGGAGGTTGGTCCATTTGTTGTCTCTGTGGTTCAGTACTTCTTTGCCCACGGACATATGCTTAAAGAGCGGAATCACACATTCCTAGTCTTGCTTCCCAAGACCGAATGCCCGAAAATGGTGTCTCAATTTCGTCATATAGGGTTGTGTAATGTGCTTTATAAATGCATCGCTAAATGTCTCACTGGCCGCCTTCGCTTGGTTCTCCCTTCCTTGGTTTATGGCTTCCAAAATGCCTTTGTCCCAAGTCGATTTTATATCAGATAATGCTTTGATGGCCCATGAGGTTCTTTCATTCACGAATGCTTCTAAAGCCCGAAGACGTTTTTATGCTGCATTGAAACTGGATACGAATAAGGCTTACGACATAATTGGATGGGATTTTTTTCTCAGGGTATTACAGTCCTTTGGTTTTCCTCCATACTGGATTCACATCATTCGTCAGTGTATGTTTACAGTCTCCTACCAGGTGTTGGTCAATGGTGATCCTTCACCACCTTTCCTTCCTCATTTGTGGTCTTCGTTAGGGGGATCCTCTTTCCTCCTACATGTTTGTTCTTGCATGGAGGTTCTTTCTGCTATGCTTCGTAGGGCGGAGGATCAATCTCTTTTTCTGGGTATTCAAATTTCTAGAGGGGCTCTGTCTATTTCTTATCTGTTTTTTTGCAGACGATACACTGCTGTTTTCTAGGTTTCGCGTGAAGCTTGTGATAGAATGATTAACATTCTGTCTTATTTTTGTGATATGTCGGGTCAATTGATCAACTAATAGAAGTCGTTTGTTAAATTTAGCCCAAATACCCCCCTGATTATCGGGATTATTTGGCAGGCTGCCTAAAATGGCAAAGCAAAGAATCTTTTGGGTCTTATATGGGTTTTCCGGTCGACTTAGGTCGTCGCAAGGTCTCCGAGTTTCAGTTTATGGTTGATAAAATTTCATAGCGCTTGTCAGACTTGGGTTCGGCTCACCTTTCTGCTGCTGCCAAGTTGGTAATCATTAATTCGGTCTTGGTGGATTCTTTTAATCACATTTTGTCTGTATTCAAAGTTCCAACTTCCATATGTCATACCATTGATGGCATGTTGGCACAGTTTTGGTTGCAGTCTTCTATGTCTTCTTGAGGATTAGCTTTTCATTCATCTTCCTTGTTGCATTTTCCTAAGGGAATGTGAGGGTTAGGTCTTCATAGTGTTGAACACTTCAACTCTGTTTTGTTGGCCCACCATTGGCGTCTTCGTCAACATCCTCATCCGCTCATGGATAATTTTGTGTTTTGGAAATTCACGAGGGACGGTAGCTTCTTTACTAAGTCTGCCTACTCCTTACTCATCCGCATCTCAATGGAGAAGATTCTCCATAACGCCTTGCCCCTTTTGGCTTCTCTGTGCTTGAGGGGTGTTCCAGTCAACACAATTTGTGTTTTATGTAGGGAGGCTCCTGAATCGACTTCTCATCTTTTCCGGGATTGCTCCTTAATTCAACACCCTTTTACTTGTAGATTTCCCTTGTGGGATGACCCTAGCTTATCGGGAAGACCTTTTGAGGTACGGTTCTCGGAATTGATTACAGAGTTTGGCTTCCGTAAGCAATGGAGGGGCCTACGCTCCTTTTATGCCTCTTATGGGCTATTTGGTCGTCGCAAAATCAGTTCATTTTCAGGCATGTGTTGTATTTTCATGCCTCTATTTTTGCCATTGCGGATGAGTGGGATTCTCGTGGTGATCAAGATGGTTTGTTTTCTTTGCAGTCCTTGTCTAATGAGCAGGAACATGTTAATCCTGCCGTACTTCGTTCTTTTGCTTGTCTTTGAGGTACTTCGAATGATCAGGTATAGGTTTGCCTAATATTAGATGGGGCATAGTTTGTTGCGGATTGCTCCACGGGAGCGGGATGGATTCTTTGTAGGTTTGACTCAGATCAGATTTTAGGGGGTGGTTCTTGGGAATTTCAGGCTACATTCGCTTTCCAGGATGAGCTACAGGCTTTGGGGCCTTCAGGCAGCTATCCACAGCGGGTTTAATCGTCTTTTGATTTATACAGATAGCGCTAATATGGTTTCGTCTCTTCAACATGTTCGTCCAGCAAAGGTCTCATGCTTATGGTTATTGGGTGATATTCGCCATCTTCTTGAGGGCCTCTCTGTTTGCAAGATCATTGGCTAGCCAAGTGTGCTAGTGAGCGTAGGATTTTATTTTGGTCCTTTGGATTTTCTTAGGGATGTTTGTTGTTTTCTGTTTGTTAGTTACTATTGTAAAAAAAAATACCACTTCCGTTTCTTATTATGAGCAACAAAGGGGTATTATTTGTGAGACATAAAATATTCCTTTGTTACACTTAATAAGAAACAGAGGCAGTAATAAATTTATATTTATACTCCCTTTTGTCCTAAACTAGTTTGAACAATGGTGTGCCTCAGTCGTATGCAACCAAAAATATCACAACTAAGCTAACTGCAAATAAACGTAGTTAGGGAAGTCGAGTTCGAATCCACAGGGAAAAAGGGACTAATAACTGGAAACCTAAGTGGAAATACTCTAGGACGGTAGTAACCTAAGTAACGAGGGGGGTTTTCACGAGCAATGATGATAAATGAACTAAGTAAGAACAACGAACGTAATGAATAGGTAATCAATGAGAAGAACGGTCTTGGTTATGCGAAATCCACTAATGAACATACAAATTGATCATAGAAGTCTCCTCAATCAAGCTCTATTGAACACCTTGTTGTAGAATTCCTAGATTCTAAATTCTCATAAATAGTTAGAAATAGCAAAGCGCTCCTTTCTAACCCTTTCCAATGCACAATTCAAGACAAGCGCTCTAAATTATCCACAAGAAGAAAATAAACGGAGAAATCAACAAGGATTGAATAAATTAACACAAGCGGTCTAATTTCTTCAATAATATTATTCCCTCTTCAAGTTATCAACCAAAAGCATGCATCAATAACCTAAAGTTGCTACTTTGGAAAGATTAATTAGATGCAAGCGAATCCAATAATTCTAACCTAGCAATTGATTAAAGCAAATCATGAAATTAATTCAAGGAACAATATATATTCAATAGATATTAAAAGAAGAAAGATCTCACAATTCGTAGCTAAAAGCTTCAATCTTTAACCAAGAATCCGGAAGATTAAGCTTCCATGGATTCTAATTCCAAAACAAAGAATTCTGAAAATTCCAAGAAAACCCTAGAAAGCTTTTTTTTCTCAAGACTTAATTCTCCTTCTCCTCCTCAAAACTTAATTAAAACTAAGCTATTTATATGTTTCTATATTTTAATAACATAACACAATAATAATAATAAAATAATATCCAAAACACGAGCCAAAACAAAGCCAAATTGCTGAAAATTAACCAAAACAGCCCGAATTTCTGCCAGAGCCGCTGCCAGCTGCTCTGGACCCGCTGGCAGCTGCTCTGGCAGCCCCTCACTCTGGTATACCCGCTGCCAGCGGCTCTGGCCAGCTGCCAGCGGCCCTGGCAGCGGTTCCTGCTGTTTTTGCCTTCTTTCCTTGCTTCTTCTTCTTGCTTTGCTTCACCTTTTCCTCAAGCTTTCTTCCTTGCTCTTCCATGCTCCATCACAACTCTCAAATCACGAGCCAAGGTCCATCCTTCTTACATAACTCTTCATTGGTTCCCGAGCTCACTCACTCACTTATACTCATAAATCCCGCCTTTTGCACATAAGTGAGATCACAGCCCAAAACTCACAAAAGCTAACAAAAGTACATATAAAGCATCAAAACACACCCTAAAATGCTTCTCTCAACCCATGATAAGAAGGCTTATCAAACAATTTTCATTTTTATTTGACTCTAATTAAGTTAAATACTTCATAATAATAGATTTATACTTATACTCCCTTTGTGCTAAACTTAGGGCTGGAAAAAGCTGACCCGACCCGATAATCCGACATGAACCCGACCTGAAAATAGTGGGTTAGGGTTGAGTTTTTCAACCCGATTCATTAAATGGGTTGACACGAACCCGACATGAAATTAAATGGGTTAGGTTCGGGTTGAAAATTTCAACCCGAAAATGACCTGTGTAACCCGAAAAAGTTATTGGGTCAAAATCAAATCTGGTCACCTCTGATAACCCAAACTAATTTCTCAATATTTAGGGTACATGTAACATGTTTTTATAGAAAATTAGGCTACTAGCTAACAAGCCCAAGTACAATAGCCCAAAGCTTAATCCCCCTTGCCCTATGTAAACCCTAGCTATATAAGCTTTTTTTTTCTCTCTCACTGTTACTCATGCGACTTCTCTCAATATTTTGGCTAAACTAGTTTGAAAAATTTTCATTTTTATTTGACTCTAATTAGGTTAAAAACTTCATATTAATAGATTTATACTTATATTCCCTATGCCCTAAACTAGTTTGAAATTTTTTCATTTTTATCTGATTCTAATTAGGTTTTTTGTTACGCTCCTATCAAAAGCACTAGTTCCTTTGTTCATAAGTGCTTGCAAGAAACAACCCTACTTGCAAAATTTTTTATTACTTTCCTCGTTTTTAAAATAAATGCCCCATTTTGACTTTCACAATATTTACATATACCACTTTGACCTCCATTATCTCTTTTACATAAGATTAAAATAGTAATGTTGTTAATGTTAAAGTTGTCTTAATGTATAGTTTCAAATAACAAGTTTTTTGACAATGAGAACTTCATAAATAAAGGCAAATTACAACCTAAGAGATCTAAAACAAGAAATTAAAAGCAACAAAACCCACTTAACTAAACCAATAGAGGGAAAGAGAAATGAATGAATACACCCATATGCATCATACCAAACATCTCGGAGCCCGGATATCCAAAAGGTTCTTATCAAAACCTTTTGTTAGACCAAAAGTTGCCAAACAAACCAAAACCTTGGAGAAGGACAGATAATGCAAGCGAACACTAAAGAAGGGAACCGAAACTTAGCATAATCCCTATGAAAAATCCCGGCGGAAGAAGTGTAGAGACAATACATCTGAAAGTCAAAAGCACTCTGTTGCTGAAAAAAGGACCCATCACCCGACTCCACTCCTAGGGATTTACCTCCTAAGAGTCCGGGAGCCAAACCATGGGAGTCGAATTTTTTCTCGACTCTACTAAGAGAAACCTTACTAATAACAAGTTTTTATATTCTATACTTAATAATGGGTCCCTTAGGTTTTTAAATGATAACAAACAACTTTAGATGGTTGCTCCATTTTTTGGTATTATCAATTGCTTTCTCTGTGCAATAATAGCTAATTCTGAATAATATAAGCCTTCTTGATTAATTGCAAGAAAAGATGGAATCAAAATGAGTTAATTAAAAGAAGCTTCAAGACATGAACATGGAAATGTCTTGGTTAGAGTGGGGAAATGTTTTTACATCGTAGAAATAGTTGCTCACAAAACACGTTATTTATGGGTAATTCTTACAAAATTTCCATGTAATTATGATAAAGTCATGTGAGATTTTGTTGGAATCGTCTCAACGTAAATTTTGTTAATATTTACTTCTTATAATTTTACAATGTCGATAATTAGAGATTTTAATCGTTAAAATTATTACTCCCTCCGTTTTTAAATACTTGCTCTATTTCTCCATGTGCGGAGTTTTAAGAAAAATTGAAGAAAGTAATAAATATAGAGGTGTAAATTGGAGGAGAGAGAGAGAATCTAAAAGAAATAAAATTGTGTCCCACTAGTTTAGATAAATAAATTAAATATTATAGAAGCTTTTCCAATAAGGAAATGGAGCAAGTATTTCATCCATTTCTTTTTAGTTGATACATTTTCCTATTTTGGAAATTTCTAATTAGTTGCAACACTTTTCATTATTGACATTCTTTTCTCTCTATTTCTCTCCTACCCACATGGGTCCAATTTATTTTTCTCTCTATCTCTCTCATCTTAAAAAAAAAACTGTCTAAGAGACCGTAAAAATAAAAGTGTACCAACTAAAAAAAGAGAGGAAGTATTTAAAAACGGCCACAAAATAAAAGTGGAGCAATTACTTAATAAACAAATGGAGCATTTGGCAAGCGTTATACAAAAAAAAAATATTATTTTCAACTAAAAAAACAGGGTAGTATCAGCTTGTTCTTGACTCTTTTGTATTCTGTTTTTTAAATAAAAAACAAAAACCAAGAAATTTAGAAAAAGTTGTTTCCATTTTATTATTTTGGTCAGTTTTCAAATTCACCGTAATGGTTTTAATAAGCACTTATTGTTTCGTATAGGTGGGTGTACCATGCGCATGGTACACCCGGATTAACATTATGCTATAAATAAAGGAACATAAGTTATAAATAAAAGAAGGAACATTTGAATTTTGGTACCTCGAAAATGACCACTCTAGTTGAATTTTCGCACCCGTTTAATTTTGTTTTTTTAAAATTTTGGTACCCATCAAAGTGTAAAATTATAGGTTTTGCTACCTCCGTCTGTGTTCCGTTAAGTATTTCGTTAGTGGGGCCCATTATCTAATTATTAAATAATTTAATTTATTAAAAAAAGTTTTTTTTTTAAAAAAAAAACTTAAAAAATAAAAACACGAGCCACTGCCCTCCCCCTCCTCGTTAGCCACCCTTCCCCCTCCTCATGCTGAATTTCGGTTGTTGGTGGCCAAATTCCCTGGGCGTCGGTGTCGGCCACCCCACCCCGCCCTTTTCCTCCTCCTATCTCAGCCATAACTCTACCCCTGTATTCCCCCTTACCCGAAACCCTAGCGCAATCACATAAACTACTACAAAACCCTTCCCTCCCTCCTATGAACCCTGAATCACTCATTCCACCACCCCGAAACCCTAACGGCTAATCCCTCCTATGGAACACTTATTGGTTATGAGTTAATTGAGTGAAGGATTGTATTATTATTCGAGGTTTATTTGACAATGGTTATTTTCAGAGTACAATGTGTAATGTAGTTTTGAGCTACATTGTTTAATTGATCTAGTAATGTTAATTATTATATTATTCTTTGTATTGTGATATGAGGTGATTACTCAGCATTTGCTGACGTGAGTGTTACTTTGTTGTGTTATCTATGTTTGTGGTCATGTCTTTTTCTTATGGTGGCCTTGCAACGATCTATTTTGGAATTTGTCCTTAATGGTGAGCAATCAAGATTTTCTAAGCAGGTTTTACAAGTGATCGTAGCTAAAGGTGCTC